CCCACCGTCTGCTCTGGCCGCTCCCCGCTCCCCGCCAGCAGCTCCTGTGCCCGGGGCCCGCCCCCGAGCGCCCCTGGGTGTCCCTGCCCGATGCCCCCTGACTCCCCCCACCGGCCTCCTTTGCCCAGAATCCCACAGGGGGCGGCCCGAAGCTAGTTTCAGCCCCCAAACCTGGCCAGGGATGGACGGAAACATGGGGGAGCCCCCTGACTTCCCTGTGAGCGTCCCGGCCTGTGAGCACCCCACGGGGTTAATGCCGGCCCCCGAGCGCCCCTGGGTGTCCCTGCCCGATGCCCCCTGACTCCCCCCACCGGCCTCCTTTGCCCAGAATCCCACAGGGGGCGGCCCGAAGCTAGTTTCAGCCCCCAAACCTGGCCAGGGATGGACGGAAACATGGGGGAGCCCCCTGACTTCCCTGTGAGCGTCCCGGCCTGTGAGCACCCCACGGGGTTAATGCCGCCTTGCCAGGGCTGGCTGGGCTCGCTTACCTGCCCAAATGAGAAAGTCCGCCCAGAAGAACCCGGATCCACTGGATTCTGCCCCAGTGTTTCCACGCTGCAGCCCAGACCTGGAGATCAAAGGGTGATTTGGCCCCATACACTCCTTCTATCTATCTCCATACACCCCATCTGTCTGTCTGTCTGTCTGTCCCTATACACCGCCTCTGTCTGTCTGTCTGTCTATCCCTATGCACCGTCTGTCTATCTATCACCATACACCCCATCTATCTGTCTATCACCATACACCCCGTCTATCTATCTGTCTGTCTGTCTGTCCCTATGCATCGCCTCTGTCTGTCTGTCTACCCCTATGCACCGTCTGTCTATCTATCACCATACACCCCATCTGTCTGTCTATCTATCCCCATACACCCCATCCATCCACACCATACGCACCCCAATATCTAATCTATCTCATCAGGCTCCAGTGTTTAGGTTACAAATTTTGCCAGGAAATACTCCCCCTCCCCACTCCGACACCCCTTCGGAAAAGCAAACCAAGTGCTATTCTCCCTGGAAGTGAGCAGAAACGAAGGGAGCCATTTCTACGGAGTTTTGTTTTCCTAAGACCATCCGCGGGGTTGGTTGGGGGAGGACTGGGGTGGGAGGGGGTTTAATTTTGTTTTCATATAATATTTTTTTACTGGAAGGTAAATGGCCAGCGCCTGCCCGGCGCCTTGCCGGATCAGTCGAACCCTGGCAGGGTTCCCTTCGGAAACTCGGCTACAGTGAAGTGGGGTTACCATTAAAAGGGGGGTCAGGCGTCCTGCGTGCCACACTAGCTGTGACAGGCCAGACAGATTATGGCGCTGATGGGGGATTCACCTGCACTTTGCCCTAACCCAGGCTGTGTCTCTACCCCCCACCACTGACCTCCCCCTCTATGCGCCTGGCTGCCCCCCAAGGCAGGAGATCTGAATCGAGAGGGGGCTGGGGCTGCCGGAGCCGCTCCGGTGAACAGCTGTGCCAAGACGCGCCTACAGCTGAGCCGGCCGGAGGCAGCACGCTCGGGGAGCCCACCAAGCCAGCTGGCTCCTGGCCCGGGGACCCGGCCTGCCGCTGCCCACGGCCCCTGCCTCTCTGGGTTTGTTTGCAAGACAAGCAGCTCCACTCAGCCAGTGACAAGGGGAGGCCACGGGCCACAGGGAAGGTGGCTGCTTTCATCCCGGGCATGGAAAACGGGTCAAACACGGACGAGTAACAGGTGGCTTCTCAGTAGATCTAATTGGTGCGGCAACGTCGGGCCGTCAAGATCCATCTGGTTTTCGGTCGATCCAACCCCTGCACCCCGCCGCGCTCTTTCTCTCCCTGTAAGCCTCAGGGGGTGGCCGCCTTCGTCTGTACCTGCGAAATCAGCCCCGAGTCTGGTCGCACCGTAGGGCATGTGCACTAGGAAATTATTTCGCAACAGTAACTCCTGAAATAACTCTTTCGAACTAACGCGTCCACGCTGCCAGGGAGCCTCGAAATGGGCCGGAAGCAGAGTGTGGACGTGCTACCTCGAGGTTGAGCCCCAGGAAGGACTCTGGGGAGGAACGTCCCCCGCCCATTATTCCGACACAAGCGGTGTCCTTCGTGACAAGCTGGAGTTGCTGTTTCGAACTGACGGGCTTGGTCATGTGGCCGCTCTGCTTGTTATTTCGAAAACTGGGGAGTTCTTTCGAAAGAACTCCCTGGTGTCGACCAGGGCTCAGAGACTAGCAGCTGGATGAGGGCATAAGGGTAAAACCCACTTCATCAGATGCATTGGAGAGGAAGCTACAGAGGCTGGGGTCTATAAGAACCACGGTAGAAAGAAGTGACTTGTGCGAATGTCTGTTTCCTTTGCCTCTCTCTCCTCTCCCACCACCCAGAATGCACCCGGCCGGACGGCTCCTTGACCCGGGATCCTTAGCCGTGTTAGTTCCATGCTCGCTAGCGGCAGGCTTGGATGATTTTTGATGGTGCCTGGAATGGGTCCAAGTCCCACCCCCCAGACCTCCCCGACCTGGGAAAGAAGTGACTTGTGCGAATGTCTGTTTCCTTTGCCTCTCTCTCCTCTCCCACCACCCAGAATGCACCCGGCCGGACGGCTCCTTGACCCGGGATCCTTAGCCGTGTTAGTTCCATGCTCGCTAGCGGCAGGCTTGGATGATTTTTGATGGTGCCTGGAATGGGTCCAAGTCCCACCCCCCAGACCTCCCCGACCTGGAGACTCTGGAGAGTTTGTGTGCAGAAGGGGGGCAGGGTCTGGAAAGGAGTTTGGGTGGGGGCTGGGGCAGGAGCCTGGGGGGCAGGGTCTGGGAAGGTGTTTGGGTGGGGGCTGGGGCAGGGGGTT